AGGGTTGCTAAGAGGAGCAGTACCTGGGACAGTGCCCAGCACACAGCACTTGCTCAGTAAACGTGGCCAGGCTCCTGTGATGCAGATGGAGAAGAGCGGAAAGGAGTCCCTGAGCCCTGCCCGGAACAGTCAGGTGCTGCTCCAGACAGGAGGACGTCTCCATGGGGCCCACCACTCACAGAGAAGAGCTCACCCCAAAAGCAGGTGTGGCTCAGAGCTGGAGAAGCAAGGCCACATGGAGGCAAGGGACAGCCATGGAGATCTAACTATCAGTCAAAGTTGGGACTTCAGAGGAAACTGCTCAAGACCTTGATTGTACATGAATAAAGAATCAGGGATCAGTGATTTCTAAAGACCACATGGAAGGCTTGATCCAAGGGGGGCTGTGGCTAGGGCAGAGGCTCCAGCAGGGTGGGAGAGACTGGGCAGCTGGACAAGCTAAGGATGGAGGTGTGGGGGGGAAATCACTGGGGGGAACTTCTGGGTGAGGGGTCCTGGCTAAGATGACCTGGCTGGATTCTTGCTGAAGGCAGGGCAGGGACCAGACCTGCTCTGGGGGACAGACGGCAAGGAGCCCACAGACACCCAGGACAGTCAACAGGGTGGTGTTGACTCTCATTACACTGCTCAGCCGGAGTTTTGCTGAAACTGGACTATGCAGAGGTCACCACAGAAGGCCCTAAGTCAGGCCTGGTTTAAGAGGAGGATGGCCTGAGTGGAGTTTGGTCCAGGAGAGTACTTGTCCAGTGAGAAGGAGGTGGGAGGAAAGGGAGCCTGGTGAAGACAAGTCAGCCCAGGGGACAGTGGGCATCTTAGCAAAGCTCCAGAGAGCTGGGGGCTTCATGCACCATGGGAAGGTTGCTCCCTGCACCTCAGGGAGTCTCCTGCCATCAGCACACACAACAGGAAGGACGAGTGTGGGGCCCAGCCAGGCCTGCCCTGCTTAGACCCTTCCAGGCCTCCAGGATAGAATGCTGTGTCTGAGTCCCAAGGGGCCTGCCGGCACTCAGTCTGTCCATCACACATGTGGGGACAATGCCCTCAGGTGGCACAGGGAGCAAGCAAGGAAGTAAGCCCCCCAGATTAGATCCAGGTGTTGTGGGAACATCAAAGGTAAAGAAGCTGGGCTTTCAGAGCACTGTGCTTGGGGCAGAGGACGTGATTGATGTGCTCCATGGGCCCCAATGTGGGGACCCTGTCCCTGGCAGGACCTGGCCCTGTTCAGAGCACCCCAACCTCAGCCCAGGGACCCCTGGTAAGTAATGCTCAGTGGGCACCTCTTTGCCTTGTGTCTCTGGGTAACACTTGCTGAAAATATATCCTCATGTGGGATGTGTGTCCAAACACTCACACACACCAACACACACTCATACACACACCAACACACACTCATACACACTCACACACACAAACATACACACAAACATATACACACACTCACATACTCACACATGCACACACGTACACACACTCACACATGCACACACACACACTCACACATGCACACGCACACACACTCACACACATACACACTCATGCACACATATACACACTTACACCTCACACACACACATACAACACATTCATACACACATACTCACACACATACACACTTACACACACATACACACTCACACACACCTTCACACACACTCACACACATCCTCACACATTCACACACACAGTCACACACACTCATACATACACACACACTCACACACACATTCACATAACACTCTCACACACTCCCACATACACACTCACTCTCACACACAACACACACACTCTCACACACTCATACACTCACACACATTCACACATACACACACATTCTCACATACACACACATTCTCACACACTCACACACAATCACACATACACACACAATCACACACATACACACACTCACACACACATCCACACATAACGCACACTCTCACTCATACACACTCTCACACATGCTCACACTCCCACATACACATTACAACACTCATACACACAGTCACACTCTCACACATGCTCACACACATACACACTCACACACATTCACACATAACACTCTCACACACTCCCCTCACACACTCACACACATAAACACACTCTCACACACACTCACATACACACACACTCATTTACACATACACACACATTCATACTCACACACCCACACACTCACGCCCATACATACACACTCACATACACTCACACACACACTCTCACACTCACATACACACATCCTCACACATATTCACGCATACAATTCACATTCACACACAGATTCACACGTTCACACACATACACACACACATACACACACACACTCCCCCCACACACTCACACACATACACTCACACACACAAACACTCACACACACACATACACACACTCACACACACACACTCACACTCACACACCTGCAGACTGGGATGGGACGAGCAAGTCCCTGAATGACTCTCAGGGCAGCTTCTCTAAGGTGCATGTGCTGAGGTGCTCCCTCCCCCTGGCTTGCTGTGACCCCCCACCACACTCCCTTTCCATTCAAGCACCTGCTGAACACTTAGTGTGTGCGGATGCTGTCCGGGAAAAGGCACAGCACCACCCCCAGCTGTCCCTGGCACCCCAGCACAGAGGCCCGCTGGCTCTGGGCAGCCTGGCTGTGGTGCCCCCTGCCTCAGAAGGAAGAGGAAACGGTGTAGAAAGGGAAGTGAACTGCAGCGCAGTTGGGCCACGATGGGACAAGCAGCTGCCCCTGCTCCGTTAGTCCTGCAGGACTGGACAGTTCACAGGAAGGAAGCCAGGAGTCGGCCTTCCCTGTGTCCACGCAGCCAGGGGCACCAGCCACAGATGTGCTGCAGTCCGGCTTCCTGGGGCCCAGGGGGTTGGGGCCACTTCTCAGCTTCCATTTTCCCTGAAGGAAGCTGGGATGAGACCAGGTACCAGGAAATGAGAGAAAACACAGTGAACCGTTTGATACAAGTTCCTCAGAACCTAGGACTTCCCAGGGGAGGCAGGCTGCCCTCCATGTAGGCAGCGGGCAGGGCAGAGCCCCAGCTTTGCGGAGGTGACGCCCCTTGCTCTCAGGACGCTCTAAGCGCTGGTGTCACAGTTTCACTAGCAGCGTTGAGCAGAAGAGCCCTGGGGTCACCCATGGTCAAGGAGGCCCGACTGGGTCCAGGTCTTCCCCCTCCTGACCAGCTTCTGCTGCCCCTGCATCCATGTAGGTCAGCCCGGAGCTCCAGGACCACAGGCTGAACCACTTCAGGGTCTACAAGGACATCACTCTGTACAAGGCCAAACTGTGGCTCCTGGGGGAGAAGGACCACCGCAAGTAGCGCTCCGCGGAAGAGCCGGCCTTCGCGCTGAGCGCCCAGTGTGCTGTGCAGGGAAATAAAGGTGGTTTTGCTAGAAAGCAAACCTGCTGCAAATCTTATGACAACTGAATTGAGATGGAATTGCTTATTAATCAATATATGGGGAATAACTTCTAAATTCTCCACAAGTACTGCGTAAGCTTGATTTGGGGGCCTTTGAACTGAACACGTTTTCCCTTCCATATTCCAATTTTTCCAAGAAAATTGAAAACCTGAGAAACACTACACAGTGATGTTAGTATTTGGATTTAGAATGCCACCTAAAGGCTCCTGTGTTGAAGACCTTGTCCATGTATAGCTCCGTTCAGAGGTGGGTGCTGGGAAGTGATTGGGTTATGTGGGTGATTGTCTAATCAATGGATTGATCCACTGATGGGGCCATATTTGAATGGACTGTTAGGGGTATAAACTGTAGGAGGTGGGGCCTGCTGGAGGAGGTAGATCACTTTGTGTGGAGGGAATGAGCTGGAAATGTCAGTCTTATCCCTGGCCCTTTCCTCTCTCTCTGTCTCCCTGCTCCACATGCCATGATGAGATCAGCATCACTCTGCCCCTCTGCCCACCATGCCCAGAAACAATGGAGTCCACCAACATGGACTGGAATTTCTGGAACCATGAGCAGAATAAACCGTTTCTCCCTTTAAGTTGGTCATGTGAGGATTTTTGCCACTGGAATGAAAAGCTGAGCAACACAAACATGACCTGACCCTCCCAGTGTTCACTGCAGTCCCAGGTGGACACCAACAAGAGAAAATGGCCTGCATTCTGGGATCACCCATTTGCCTAGGAAAAATCTAGATGAAGAGAAAGTTGGACTTCCCTGCTGGCATCAGCATAGAGAGCCACCCAGAGACAGAGCCTGGAGTGAGGACTGGGTGTGGGGTAAGGAGCCGTTTTCCAATTAAAGACCTTTGGCCCCGACTGCACACAAATACTGGTATCATTAAATAATAACTCTGTGTGGAACCCTCTTTCACTGGAAATCATCTATCCATAGACTCAGGGGGCCTCCAGACTTGTTATCCCACCCATGTTGAGCAATGGTTCAGTGTGGGAAACCATTCTTGCACGTGATTGGGCACTTCCCGGATTGGGTGTGAGGCATTCTGGCCAAACTGTGTCGGAGCTATCCCCACCCTCTCCAGGTGCGAGAGCCTGTCTGTGTGGGGGTGTGACTGACCACTGATCCTGAGGCCAATCACTGTCCCTGACCTTGGAATGCTGCCCCCCTTGACCTTCATTGGATGGAATTTTCCCCTGAATTTCTTGTTCCCCAATAAAAGGCCACTCCCTGGTGTTCTCTCTCTCTCTCTCTCTCTCTCTCTCTCTCTCTCTCTCTCTCTCTCTCTCTCTCTCCTGCTAGCCCTGAGTAAGCCTTGCTGCCCCACCGGGTGGTTCGAGGTGAGAGCCAGAGAGGTGAGAGCCGTCTTGGACCTGGTCATAGAAAAAGGTAATTGAGTCTGTGTGTTTAATTTTGATCTCACTAGTTAATTTCTATGCCACGAACCTCTTTAATGAAACCAGCGTGCTGGTCGCCTGGTGGAGTTCAGTGTTCTTGGCACTGAAGGCAACACAGAACTTTCTAGAAATGTTCCTGTGATAATGAAAGCTATGTTCAGACTCCAGACCTCAAACAAGGAAGGTGCATTTCAACATCAATCCAACCAAAGAACCAGAGGGTGCTGAGGGTAGCCAGCTTCAGGAAAGTCCTGTCCCTGTGACAAGGTCACCCCACTTTCCGGGAGCAGCCTCAACACATTCACACTGTGCCCCAAAGAGCATAGGAGAGGTGCCCAGCAGGCAGTGTGGGTCCTCCGAGGCTGAAATGGTCGTGAGAAATCGAAAAGACTGTGGCCACTTAGCTGGAGCTCAGCACATTCAGGAGGACACAGGCTCCTGTCATTGAATAGTCACACAGATGTGTTGTGAGTTAGGGAGCAAACTGTGAGACCACAGACAAACCACAGAAGTAAAGCCCCGAGCCCAGCAGTCCTACCAGACCCTGACCAAAAATATGAGAGGGTCAGGCTGCCCTTGGGAGCTTGGTGTCCTTGTGTGCTGCTCCTGCGTACCCTCCTTGTGCCTGGCTCTGGTCCCACCTGCTCTGACCCCACTGCCTGCCCAAGGCAGCCCCCTCCCTAGTCTCCAGTGTCCTCCTCTTTGCAGAATGAACACTGCAGTGGAAAAACCCTGACCTAACCAACTTAAAAAGGAGGAAAGGTTCCTTCTGCTCATGGTTCTAGAGATCTCAGTCCATGTTGATGGACTCCATTGTTTCTGTGCAGGGTGGGCATGAGGAGCAGAGCAATGCTGCTTCTTTCCAGGTGAGGTCAGAGCCTTTCATTGTGCTCTCCTTGAACTGTGTGTTCAGTGCTCTGTCACCTGTGGGAGTCCAAGGTGGGCTTAGAGAGGGGACCTCAACTGGGAGCCACCCCAGTGGTGGTCGCCCCTTGGTTCCTATTTTCAGAGACTGTTATATGTGGAGTCATCACAATCCTTGTGACAAGACATTCCAGTGTTTTTTCACTGGGTCATTGTACTTTCTTCCTTAGGTGAATTTTATGGGTACAGAAGTTCTCTCTTCCTACGATGGTCTGTGTCTGTCCTCAGGGGCTCTTCCAAGTCCTGGAAGTGGCTGGGGCCTGTCTCTCTAGTAGTTCGCTCTGCTAAGGAGCCACCAGGTTCAGCTGAAATAAGGGCTCTGTCTCCAGGTCTTGCTCAATTTGTTGCATTTGTGTTTCAGGTGATGCTGAGGAATCCTGGGCTGTCAAGAAGGCTCACTTGGTGCTTTGCAGCATCGGGTCCCACACTGGTCCCAGAAGGGACATGACTCTGAGAAAGAGCTGAGGGGCACAAGGGAGAAGCCCTCAGGGAGGACCACAGGGAGCACCGGGCCCTGGCAGGGGATGCCCTCCAGGGCTGGTTTGCTGGAACTCTGGTCCCATTCCCCGAGACACTTATTAAGCAGAGTACTCAATAATTATTGAGTTTGACTTTTGCCCTTTGTTTCTAACATGGTTTGTTTGCTGATGATTTGTAAGGAGCTGACGATAAACAGAATTTTCCCTTTCATCGTTATGTTGAGTGGTTAAGGAAAGATAGGCGCTGATGGATGAAGAAGCTGGTGAAGTGCCCAGGTGTGCTGTGTTGTAGGAGGGGCGGTCCTGTTCTGATGGGTGGCTGGGCCTGGACTGCCCTTGTGCTCTGGGCTGTGGAGCTGCCATTGACAGGAGGTGCCAGCTCTGCCCACCCAGGGGCTCCCCAGCTGGGACGCAGACTGCAGCCTGTTCCTCACGCCATGGTCCTGGCTTCTAGGCTTTGGAGGACAGAAAAAAAAACATGCTAGTGAGTAAGGATATCTGGGACCTTGAAAAACCCCATTGCAATCTTTATAAGGATTATTGGAAAATGTTGTGACTGTTTTAATAAAGTTATCCCTTCACCCTACAGGAGAACCTGAGCCATTCATTATGAACACTGCTCTAGAGAGATATACAACATGCCATAAAATTCACCCCATAGAATATACACCCCATGGTCACAGAGAGCCACAGAGTTGTGAAGCAATGGCACAATTTCAGATTTACATCTCATTTATTGGCATCTTTACTTGAATAATAGAAGTATGTATAATTTAATGGTATATTAAATATTGCATTAATGGTATTTTATTTTCATATTAGTATATTAAATATTTACCTGCATCCATTTTTCTTTTTTCTTTTGTTTCTGAGTGATTATAGCCATGTGGGTTTATATAGATTTATTGTATTTTTTTTTATACTGGGGATTGAACCCAACGTGTGTAACCACTGAGCAACATCCCCAGCCAGCTTTTGAATTTTATTTACACACAGGGTCTCACTGAGTTGCTTAGGGCCTCGCTCAGTTGCTGAGGCTAGCTTTGAACTTGCAATCCTCTTGCCTCAGCCTCCCAAGCTGCTAGGATTACAGGTGTGCTCCACTGCATGTGACTATAGTGTCTATTTTAACATTTCAAGAAGTCAAAATGTTTTTAATGATTAATGAATTATACAGGAACCAGTATCTCCTTGTTATGAGAATTCAAACTGTGCTTTGTGCTGGAGCTGAATCGCCTCTGTTCAGCCCCCTCTTCAGCTCCCACAGATACCTGTGTACATGTGCTCATTGTCACAGTTAGAACAAGACAGCCGGCTGCGGCTCACCGTGTGCACACTCTGCAGTGTGCAAAACAGCCATCAGATAAGACCCAGCGACACAGATCATGCTTTCCACAGCAGCAGTGCACAGCCCCACTGCCTCCGCAATTCTGTCAATTACTGTAAGCAGAAAACACTGGAATGTCTTGTCACAAGGATTGTGATGACTCCACACATAACAGTCTCTGAAAATAGGAACCAAGGGGTGACCACCACCCCAGGCAAGCCTGCTGTAGCTGAGACGGGCAACCGAAAGGGCCCATGAGCTTTGGTGAAGGGAGCCCCTGAGGACACGGCAGTCACATCATGCCCGCTGCTCCAGGCAGAGACCACAGAGCACACCATGGTGCTAAGGAGAGATGGGTCGTGGTCACTAAGCTGCCAGCACCTGCAGAGCTTGAACACCATGCCCACAAGTGATTAATGGCCACACCCTGACAAAGAGGGACATCTGACCTCCAGGCACAAGGGGAGTTCACCATGACTTGATCTCCGGGGACGTTTGTAAACATCTCCTATATAAGCAAAATCTACTGTGGCTCCCTGCTTAGGATCACATCCCAGCCTCCTCAGAACACCAGCCTTCACACACAGGAGGTGGGGAGTGACCACACCTGGGAACCCTCACACACAGAGGGGAGTGCCCACACTCAGGAACCTTCACACACAGGAAGGAAGTGCCCACACCTAGGAGCTCTCCCACATGGGAGGGGAGTGCCCGCACCCAGGAACCCTCACATGTGGGAGGGGAGTGCCCACACCCGGGAACCCTCACACACCAGAGGGAGTGCTCGTGCCTGGGAACCCACTGGTCTCCCTGAGCGTCGGGTCAGACACACTCCCTGTGGGTGTGCATCCTTTGCTGTCCTGAAATAACCTCTACCTTGGCCCTGCTGATTGACTCACCTGCAGTTCTGTGGCAAATGTCAAGAACTGGGGTGGCAGAGGTCTGGGCCTGGCCTGGGTCCCTTCCTTGGAGTCCTTAACACAGTGTGTCCATTGCAGCTGCAGCTGCAGCTCACAGGACTGGCTCTGAGGGCTGCAATGATCCTAGGCATGTGGGAGTGTCACCTTGAGTTGTGAGGTTTTGCAGATGTGAGCCTTGACTGCTGAATCTCTGACCACACAGAGCCCAGGTGAGTTCTGAGAAGCCAGGGGAGGAGCAGGGCGAGGTGTGGACAGTGTGGACAGCTAAAGACTTCCCACTGTGTCTCTAAAGGTCCTCTGTCAATAGAAGATATGATTCCAGTAGTGACCATGAAGAAACTCCAGGTAGATTCCAACAGTGAGACAGAACCCAAGGGAAAGGCATTCCTGGGAGTCACTGAAGTATAACTGCTCAGCTGGAGACAGAGCAAGGGGCTGTGAAATCAGAAAGAAAAAAGAAATGTGACTTTTCACCTTCAGCAGCTAATGGTGCAATAAAAGAACTGTGATGTCTATGGGCTTTGAGTGCTTGACTCCCAGCCATCTTGCTCTGCTGTCAAGGTGTCTTTCCCACAAGGTCAGCTGTCTCCTGAATCTGCCTCTGACATGCCTCAGCCCTGGGGTTGCCTGGTTTACGAGAATGGAGCACAAAGTCTTTGGGTGGGGTCTGGTGCTGACCTCCAGTGCAGGTGTCTCATAGACCTGGATCTCTCATGGCTTCCCAGACCCTGGATGTGGAGGGGATGCTGTGCCAGAGAGCTTGGGTGCAGGGTGGTAAGGAGCCCTCTTCTCTGCTGGACCTTAGGTCTTGCTCAGCAACCTCAGGGTTGTCTTCTGGCAGTTTACTCCTGGTGCACTAAAGCCCTTGTGGTCAGGTTACCTGAAGAATCCCCTAAGTGTGGTGAGGTTGTAGCAAACTCAGCCACGTGCACGGTGAGCCCTGGAGCTGGTGTGGCCCCCAGGTCCTGGAGAGTGTGCCAGAGCTGGAGCTTCTTAGCTGTGCTCACCTCAGACACATATTTCATAAGTTAGCCACTTTTTTTTAATGCTTATGTGTTTTGTTTTAGAATTTTCTCAAAGTTCAATGGAAGAGATACATAATTTCCCATTTCTAATCTTTTTAAAAGTTTCTCCTTATATTTTGCTGCTATATTAATATTTTCATATAAAATCATAGTGGTTTTATATCAGTATTTTATCAAATATTTTGTGTGGTAATTGAGCACTGGTGACAGGAATTCAGACACTCCTGTGTGTGTGTGTGTGTGTGTGTGTGTGGTTACCCTGTCCTTTTATTTGCACATTGGTGACATACTGCACTAACTTCAACATCACATTTTTAGCATAAGCCTAAGTTTTAAAAATGAAACGAAACTCTGAGCTCAGGAGTAGGGTTTTGACCTCTTACCCGGGTGGTGGTGATCAGCCTCCTGAACTCCCAAAGGCCACCCCTGGCTACCTGCAGCCTCTGGAAAGAATGTGGAGGCCCTAGAAGCAAAGGGCTGGCCCCCTGTGCTGGTGTGGGCAGCCTGTCTCCAGCCAGGGAGACCGAGAATCTGGCAGGGCTCGGGATCCCAGAGCCAGTGACCTGTTAGGCCTGGAGGTATGAGGAAGTGCCTTCGCTGGACCCAGCTGGCCGCGGCCCTGGGCTACAGGGGAGGTGACTTCCCCCAGAAGTCACCGTCACCGGGCAGACAAGTGGCCCCTGGAAACGGGCGAGGGGCGGAGCTTCAGCGTTGCCCTCCCACCCAGTACAGCCGCTCCCCACACACTCACCTGGGCAGGGAGCAGGAGAGGAGCCCCAGCCTGCTGCATTCAGCCGGGCTGCTCTACAGGACGGCGCAGGGCAGCCTCGGCTCTCCGGTCACTCCAACACCGCGGGCGCGGCTCTCATGCAGGTGAGCTGCCACCTGATGCGGAGTCCACGGGTTAAGGGGACCCAGGGCCCGAGCTGAGCTTCCTGGCAGATCTTCTCTCCCGGAGCCCGACCCACGGCGCCTTCTAGTGTCCTAGAGTGATATCGTCGTTCCAAGTTTCACTCCAGCTACTTTCTCTATTCGCACCTGGGAGACAAGGTCAAAACCAGGCCAGTGTAAGACTCAACAAACCAGGCAGGTTATGTTCGCTAGCCATCCCGGCGACTGGGAAGCTGAGGCAGGAGGATTGCAAGTTGTGGCAAGACTCAACAACTTAAGTTACACCCTGTCTCCAAATAAAAAGTAAAAATAGTTTGGGGATGTAGCTCAGTGGTGGTGTGTGCCCCCTCATTCTGCAGTGTCACAAAGGAAAATAAAAAGGATTTAAGAAAAACAAAATGAGAAGCAATTCAATTAAATTAGCCCAGAGTTAGTAAATTAAAGAAGAAAAAATGCTTTATACTTTATCATGTCAAAAATTCATTACATACCCAAGAAAATTTGTAAATAACCATTAAACACATTGATGTATTTAATATCATGGCTCTAAAAATGCAAAATTAAATCATTATATTATCCCATTCCACAAAAATAAACACAACTGAGTGCATGGGGTGACTGGCAGCATATAAAGTAGGTGGACTCTGACTTACTGCTAGCAGAAGGCAGCCACTTTGTAAGCAGATTTGCCATCCTGTTAGCATACAAAGTTAACATAAAATTTCTGAGTGTTGTATTGTTAGTGAATTGCCCAAAAGAATTACACAGAAATTCATAAATGAAAATACATAACAGGATTGTTCATCAAACAGCCTAAACATCTAATAGTAAGACACCAGATAGAATTTCAAAATCATTCTGCTTATGTCAGAAGACCCATAAGACAGAGTGCAGGTGACATGTCTCGTGGAGATGAAATTTTGTAAAAGAGAAATCTAGTGGCACAAATAAGACAAGGGGTCCTGGGGGCCAAGGTTGATGGAATATTGACTGAAAACTGTCATAAATTATAGTTGATAAAAAATTTTAATCTTCATTTTGAATTCATGAAAGATATGAATATATCAATATGAATATGTATATTAGATAATTATAAATACAATGCATATGAAATATTTATTTATTAGTTTATTTCACTACTCACCAAACTGCTTAATTGGATACATATTATTTTGTGTAATTTCCACCTTTATTTTAAAACAACCATCACAGTATTCTAAGATGAAATTACAAAAACTTTTACGAACTACTTTTCATAAAATTCTGCCCCTTTAAAGAGAATATTATTGGTCGAAAAAAGAGTTAAAATATGTAAAAAAAAAAAAAAAAGTTGAATACTCTTGCCTTCTGTCCTTAGTTACAGATGAAGTGATATTTCCCTAAGACACCGCCGCTTTTGGAGCGATGGGTTTCACATCGTGGATCTGGTACTGCCATAGGAAAGCCCTAGGTAACTGAGGTGGCAGAGGCCACGCAAGACTCGCCTGGTGCAGGGAAGGTCTCAGTCCCCTTCGAGGGAGGAAGGAAGAAAGAAGAAAGAAATCGGTGGCCTCCGTTTGCAAACACCAGCAGTACAAATGTGTCAACTTCACAAAATATGATTAGTAGTGTTGTCACATTAAAAGACTGAATGAGGGTGAGGTGTCCAGAAATCTAGGAATGGGGACAAGCGTAGGAGCGGTGTGCCAAGCTGATCTGAGCCTTGGTGGGCGCCCTCCCTTGGGCGGAGTCCTCGTGGGGGTCCTCCCCTGGGCGGAGTCCTGGTGGGCGCCCTCCCCTATGTGCTACCTGGAGAAGGGAAGGGGCAGCCAGGGCGCGTGCTGGTGTCGCTGTGCAGCGCAGAGAGGAGGTGGGTGGAGACAGAACCCTCCAGAGGGAGGCAGACGTCAGGGGACGCCTCAGGATGTCATCAGTGAGTCTGCAGGCTGTGTCCACTGGACACGTGGGCTAGCTCAGGGGAGGCAGTGAGCCCCCAGTCGGGTCACTAGGAATACAGGGTTCCCAGTTTACGGACCAGAAGGATAAAATCTCTTCGCGAGTGGCGGTGACATTTTGGTACCTCTTGCTGGCAGCCGCGCCACTCTGGCTGATTTGCCCCAGGCGCTGTGGGATGCGCCCTGCTGGCTTCTGCCCGCGGTGGCTCAGCTTTGGGGCCGCCGGGTGTTTCCTTCCCCTCAAGCATGGATTTGCCCTGCTGCAGGACAATTCGCCTACTGGTGCCTCCCGGAAATGTATCAGTGGAAAGGAGCTCAGAGCAAGGTCTGCGGGCCAGGGTTTCCTTGTCTCCCTACCGGTCACAGCTGCCTGTGAGGAAGGTGGCTGCTGCCACCGCGGGGAGGGACAGCACATTAGTCATTGGCCTCACCTCTGGCGGCAGCCCAGCCAAGAGCAAGAGCTGTGCATCAGCGGGGCCTCCTGGGATCCAGAGAAGCAGCAGGGGGCGCTGGAGACCTGGTGCTTGAGGCTGAGGGTGGTACCAGGGCTACCTGGGAGGGCGCCCAGCTGCTGCTGGAACGGGGATATGCCAGTCACCAACACTGAGGCCACTGCTCAGGGTGCAGGGGAGTCTGGAGATGCCCCAGGGGATGCAGAGAGGGCGGCTGCTGAACCTCATGGGTGCAGAGAGGGAACCTTCAGGCCTTGACCAGCGCGGCAAAACTAGCTGGTTCCGGCAAGGGGTCAGGGGAGATTGGAAGAAAAAAGATTCAAAGACGCAAATCTTGAGGATTAACCTGGAGTTGGGTGGAGCGCTGCTCTCTGATGAAGAAGCAGGTCTGCAGAATTACACCAACAATCTTTATTATATATGTCTCATTAATAAGATTAAAGACTATGCCAACATTATTTTATTAATTCTTTTTTATATTTTTTGAATTAGTTATACATGACAGTAGAATGCATTTATTCACTTTGATATATCATACATAGATGGGATATAATTTCTCATTTTTCCGAGTACATGTTGCATAATCGTATGTCTCATAGTTTCATAATCGTATGTGTCAAATATATACATAAGTAATAATGTCTGTTTCATTCTACTATCTTTCCTATTCCCACATCCCCTCCTTCCCTCCTATCACTTCCCTCTACCTAATCTAAGGTAACACTATTCCTCTCTTAGTGCCCCCTCCCGCCTTATTGTGAATTAGCATCCGCATATTAGAGAAAAAATTTGGCCTTCAGTTTTGTGAGATTGGCTTATTTCTCTTAGCATGATATTCTCCAACTCCAACAATTTGCCAGTAAATTCCATAATTTTACTCTTCTTTAATTTAAGGACCAGGACAATGGGTAATATTCCATTGAGTATATATACCACATTTTCTTTATCCATTCATCTACTGAGGAACACTGAAGTTGGTTCCATAGTCTAGCAATTGTGAATTGAGCTGCTATAACATTGATGTGTCTGCATCACTATAGTATGCTAATTTTAAGTCCTTTGGGTATAAACCAAGAAGTGGGATAGCTGGGTCAAATGGTGGTTCCATTCCCAGTTTTTTGAGGAATCTCCATACTGCTTTCCATAGTGGTTGCACCAATTTGCAGTCCCACCAGCAATGTATGAGTGTAACTTTTTCACCACATCCTCACCATCATTTATTGTTGCCTATATTCTTGATAAATACTATTCTGACTGGAATGAGATGAAATCTTAGAGTAGTTTTGATTTGCATTTCTCTAATTGCTAGAGATGTTGAACACATTTTCATATATTTGTTGATCAATTGTATTTCTTCTGTGAAATTTCTGTTCATTTCGTTAACTCATTAATTAATTGGGTTATTTGTTTATTTTGGTGTTAAGTTTTTTGAGTTCTTTAAATATCCTAGAGATTAATGCTTTATTGGAGGTGCATGTGGTAAAGATTTTCTCCCAATCAGTAGGCTCTCTCCTCACTTTATTAGTTATTTTCTTTGCTGAGAAGAAGCTTTTTAATTTGAATCCATTCCATTTATTAATTTTTGATTTTACTTTTTCCTCTTTGGGAGTCTTGTTAAGGAAGTCAGATCGTAGGCTGATATAGTGAAGATTTGGGCCTATTTTTCTTCTATTAGTCACAGGGTCTCTGTTCTAGTGCCTAAGTCTTTAATCCACTTTGAGTTGATTTTTGTGCAAGGTGAGAGATAGAGGTTTAATTTCATTTTGCTACATATGGATTTCCAATTTTGCCAGCACCGTTTATTGAATAGACTGTCTTTTCTCTAGTGAATGCTTTTGGCACCTTTGTCAAGTATGACATATTTTATGTGAGTTTGTCTCTGAGTCTTCTATTCTGTACCATTAGTCTACAAATCTATTTTGGTGCCAAAACAATGCCATTTTTATTACTATAGCTCTGTAGTATAGTTTAAGGTTTGGTGTTGTGATGCCTTCTTCTTCACTTTTCTTGCTAAGGATTGCTTTAGCTATTCTGGGTCTCTTATTTTTCCAAATAAATTTCATGATTGCTTTTTCTATTTCTATGATGAATGTCATTGGGATTTTAATAGGAATTGCATTAAACCTGTATAACATTTTTTATATTTTTTATAATATTAATTCTGCCTATCCAGGAGCATGAGAGATCTTTTCATCTTTTAAGGTGTTCTTCAATTTCTTTCATTAGTGTTCTGTAGTTTTCACTGTAGAGGTCTTTCACCTCTTTCATTAGAATGATTCCCAGGATTTTTATATTTCTTGAGGCTATTATAAATGGAGTAGTATTCTTAATTTCTCTTTTGGTGGATTCATTGCTGATGTATAGAAATGCATTTGATTTATGGGTGTTGATTTTATATCCTGCTACTTTGCTGGATTTGTTTATTAGTTCTAGAAGTTTTCTGGTAGAATTCTTTTGATATTCTAGATATAGAATCATGTCATCAGCAAATAGTGATAGTTTGAGTTCTTCTTTACATACTTGTATCCCTTTAATTTCTTTCTTTTGTCTAATTGCTCTGGCTAGAGTTTGAAGGATGATATTGAATAGAAGTGGTAAAAGAGGACATCCTTGTCTTGTCCCAGTTTTTAGCAGGAATGCTTTCAAATTTTCTTCATTTAGAATGATGCTGGGCTAATTATATCCTTGGGCTTAGCATATATAGCCTTTACAATGTTGACATATGTTCCTACTATCCCTAGTTTTTCTAGTGTTTTGAACATGAAGGTGTGCTATATTTCATCAAATGCTTTTTCTGCATCTATTGAGATGATTATGATTCTTGTTTTTAAGTCTATTAACATGATATGTTATGTTTATTGATTTTCATATGTTGAACCAACCCTGCATCCCTAGGATGAATCCCACTCGATCTTGGTGCACTATCTTTTAAATATGTTTTTGTATACAATTTTCCAGAATTTTATTGGGAATTTTTGCATCCATGTTCATCAGGGATATTGGTCTGAAGTTTTCTTTCCTTGATGTGTCTTTGTCTGGTTTTGGTATCAGAGTGATATTAGCCCCATAAAATGAATTTGGAAGGGTTCCCTCCTTTTCTATTTCATGGAATACTTTGAGGAGTATTGGTGTTAATTCTTTTTTTAAAGTTCTTATAGAATTGGGCTGAGGATCCATCTGGTCCTGGGCTTTTCTTGGTTGGTAGGCTTTTGATGGCATTTTTTATTTCATTACTTGAAATTGACCTATTTAAATTATGTATGACATCCTCATTCAGTTTGGTAGGTCATATGTCTCTGGAAATATCTGATGTCTTCGATATTTTTTGTCTTATTAGAGTATAAATTTGCAAAATAGTTTCTAATTATCTTCTATATTTCAGAAGTGTTCGTTGTGATATTCCTTCTTCATCTTGTATTTTAGTAATTTGAGTTTTCTCTCTTTTTCTCATCATTAGTATGGCCAGGGAAGCATTATTCTTAGTATCCATAAAACTTACAGAGTTAGCAACAGTATGTAGCTGTTTCCTCAGTTAAATTCTACAGTTGCAATGTACAATGTTAGGAGCATTGTGCAGCTCTCAAGAAAGTCCATTGTTTAAAGTTACTAATTCATGGCAGATTCAGAAGCAGCGGAACTGGAGAAACATTGTGGTTATTTTAGCAAGGAATTTCCTTCATTCCCAAGAGCCGTGTGCCTGAGAATAAGGTCAAAGCTAATAAGACTCTCAAAACAGAGTCTCCCTATGGAAAGCATTGTCATAGCAACCAGGCATCCTACATCTTTGGTTAGAAACTTTCAAGTCACCAAGCATGCCACAGCCATGAAATCATCAGAGACCCCAATCTCAGACACTGGTCTCTCAGTCACCGTCACCACTCTCCACACCTACAGACACAGGAGACATGGCTTCCAGGCACTGACCAGCGGAGAGCTGCTGATGAGATCTGAAACAATTTCTGGAGCATGTTGGGGAGTTAGCTATGGTGGAAGAGACCAGTCCCACCCATGCAGTGAGAAAGCAGCAGGACGGGGCAGTCCAGGCCCCCTGGACACCGTCTTCCAGGGTCCACAGTGTGCCTGGGCTTCCCTGGGACTCTCTTATTGCCACCCCACTGGCCTTAAAGAGGAGCCCACCTCTCTCTTCACCATGCAATTGGTCAGGGTCAGTGCACCCTTCAGCCCAGCCATCACTGATGCTACCTGTGCAGAGAGACCAGGAGCAGGAAGGTTCTGGGACCACAGGGAGCAACACAGCTCTGGGGCTGCATTAGAAGAGCTGGCAGAGCTGGGGAGGGGTCTCTGCTGGAAATGTGGAGCTTTTGACTTTGTAGATTCCCAGCATGACCACACTCAGTGTCCCTCCTCATTCACTCAACACTTTTTTTTGCATTGTCTTCAGTAAGGTTTCATTAGTTTCCACGGGATGCAACTTTCCACTTTTGTCAGTTTTTCTTCAAATATTTAATATTTTATGTGATTGCCAATTGCAATGATATTCTTCAAAGAGCTAGTAAAAAACAATACTAAAATTCAAATGCAAGCTCTCTCTCTCTCTCTCTCACACACACACACACACACACACACAACTCCAAATAGCCAAAGAAATCTTGAACAAAAATAAGAAAATGGGAGGCATCACAATATCTGATTTCTAGGTATCCCAGAGCCATGGTAACCAGAACAGCATGGTACCATCATAAAAACAGACACAGACCAGTGGAACAGAACTGAGTTCCAGAAATAAGCCCACATGGACATCCAAGTGGCTCCCAACAAAGGTGCCAAGGACACTGGAGAGAACGCAGCCTTATTTTTGACTTGCTTGTGGCTTATTTCTAGGAAACAGTTTTTTTCTTCATGTTGACATTTTTACTCCAAAACCAGTTGAAGCACTTAGAGAACTTTTGGGGTCATTTCTTGAGGCTAACTGTGGAGGAGGTGGAATCACCTCTTTTTGATTTATTCCAAAGTGTCCATTGGTTTGAGCTAAAGGGATGTGACATCATCAGATCTACTCTGCCAAGGAAACCAGGATCTAATGAAGATGTGACATAGAAATCACCTCCTTAGCGCCTGCTGAGGGCTGCCTGCAGCAGACCAGGAGAGTGCAGGGAAGCTGGTCCCACTCCCCCGTGGCTCTGGAGCACCATGATATCCTAGGAGCACAGCTTGGAGGGCTACAGGAACAGTGGCCTCATCCTCCGTCTAGAGCCCACCTGAGCTCACCTGCACATCTTTGGATCCAGAGAAGTGCCTTGTCTGCATGTGTGTAGTTGAAGAGGTACCTGGGAGGGCTCTGTAGCTTCTGTTGGAACCTGCATGTCCTTCAGTCACCAGGACTGAGGCCACTGCTCGGGTGCAGATGAGTCTGGCCCATGCTCCAGGGGATGAAGAGGGGGAGGAGGACTGAGCCAGCACAGGCTGGGGAGGGACCTGCAGACAGGCTCGCAGGGGTGATGGGCCAGAGGCCAGGGGTAAACTGCTTGGTGGTCTGAGGCAAAGGGGCTGACACAGGCTAAGGCTGTCCCTGTCTCTGAGGCCTGTCCCAACCTGCCAGTGCAAGAGGAGCACAGGAGGAGGGAGTCCAGGCCAATCAGCCCCCCTGGAGCACCAGAGCAGGGCTGCTTGGCTGAAGTCTCTCTCATCTTCCCCAGTGACCTGAAAGAAGAGGGGCTGTGCATGCCAACTGATTTCCACTCTTGGTGATCTCTGCTCCATGCTGAGACTGAGTGTCTACACACAGGGTGCTGATGGGTTAGTTCTAGAGCTTGTTCATGGGAAGGCCAAGGAGGAGCAGCTGCTGGGACCTTGCACAACTGTGAGCAGCAGGTGATCTAGTCCAGAGGAGCACAGCAGGTAAAAGCCCATCAGCAGATGCAGGCACCCACACCCCAGCCCTGAGGAGTTTGGAGATTTGCACAGAAGAAGCAGCCACATGGCAGACCCTGAGGTCATAGTGATTCTGGCCTCCTCCCCCCGCCCCCCGGGCATATGTCATGTGAACCAGCATGTCCTGCTTGCTCTCTGGAGATTCCCAGTCACCAAGCATGCCACAGCCACTGGCTCTCATCAGCTGTGTCCCTCTGAACTGGATAGTCGCCTATAGTGGACACCTGGGTCCCTACAGGGCATAGGTCCCTCTTCCCAGTGTTCCTCTCCTCATGTGGGAAACCTGGGCCATGTCCTAGATCAACAGGCAGGCAGATAGGGTAGGGATGACCATGACCCTTGGAGTTCCCAGCCAGAGAGTAAACAAGCAGGGAATGTCCTGATAATTTCTTAGATCACCATTGGCGGCTTCTTTCTGTTTAGGAGTTCTTCCTTTAGTGTGTCTTTCCTCACAGTTTTCCTATGAAGAATCATGCCACTATTTAAAGAATGGGGTTACACTTAATATTCTGCTTGGAAATCTCAGCTGAATCTCCAAGTTTGCTTCTTGGTAGTGCTTTATTTCAGACCTTGTTCATCTAATTCAAACTTCAGCTTTCAAAAAGAGTGACACCTACATGCATCCAGTCACTGACCACAGACTCTGCATGGTGCACTGGGGACTCTAGAGACCCAAATCCTCCACCCAAAAACCTTGAATAAGACCATATTTGTGGGCCTCTGACCTTGCTCAGAAGGGCCTTGTGCTAGGTTTATTGCTATTGCTACCATCTTAATTTTTTTTTTCTTTTTTCTTTCTATTACTGATGGTTAAACCGACATGTGCTAGGCCAGCCTCTGCTATTGAACTACGTCCTCAGCCCAACTATCTTAAAACTCTTAATATTTTAGTCCCTGAACATGTTTTTTTTTTTTTTAAGTGAATTCTGATGAGGGACTTGAGGGAGCTCATTGGCCTGATCACTCAGAGGCAGATGCAATCCAGCAGCTTCCCCTGGAGTGCTGCTGTGCACCTGCCCATGGGCACTCAGTCTTGTCCTGCAAGCTGTGGTTGGGCTGTGCAACTTCTCCTGCCCAGCTAGTTGACTTCCTGTGCAGCAGCTGCAGCAATGTTCAAAGTATCAGAAATGTGTGACAGAGGGCAGATGACATTGTGCCACCTCCTACATGAAATAGTGAAGTCGTGTTCCACGTTAGATTTTTGACTGAGAAGAGAAGTATTGGGAATGTAGTAACCTAAAATTAATGAGTGGGTAGATGAGTGGGGGCAGCACTTAGGTGACACTTAATTTTTCTTATGGTACTGAGTAATAATGAGTTAACCCTCTTCCATAGGGAATTTGAATTTTAAAAAAAATGTCAGGATCTTCTTTTCACATTTGAGATTACTTTTATCTTTCCTGAAAAAGGTGCAGGTCCTGTGATCTCATAGTGAGTAACTAACTCAGGCCTGAATACAAAATGCCCCAAGGGCCCCTTGAACATTAGTGTTGGGGAGAGGGAGGCTCCCCTCCTCTGTTCCCACCAGCTGGCTTTCAGGGAACCTAATTAGCACCTTTCATTCTTATCTGTGGATTGTAAAGGACTTTCCCTGGGATCTGACTTCTTTCCTTTGGAGCTTAAACACCCAGGGAAGGCTCTGGGCCCAGAGCTAGAGGCTCCTTGGAGGCCACAGGCTCCCTTCCTGCACTCTGGTTTTGTAAACACACTCCCGGCAGATATTCTCTGTCCATAAAGCTTTGCTTGAACTCAGAGCTGTGTCTTTCCTGGATATTTGTGCCAGCTACCCTAACACCAACCAAAAGGGTCCTGAAGGAAGGAGGCAAATACTGAAATGCTGGGTTCTGGACTTTTACCCTTTCCCACAGCAGATGACTCCTGGAAGGAAAAAAGCAAATAGTGAGGCTCTAGGTAACAAGGAACTTGCAAAGGTTGATATAGCGGGAGTCGCTTTATTGCAGGACAATAGAGGTATATATACTTAACTAATTACATACAGCTTATCTTAATTAACATAAACTAGATACAGCAGTCAACCAATAAGGAATCCTCATCATCTTAATGATTACATACAGCTTAACTTAATTGACATAATCAAGACACAGCAGTCAGTCATTAAGGAATCTCTATCATCTTAATGGCTCACTGGCATACTTCTCAAACCACTCCTCTTGGCAAAGTGCCAGGCACCATCTTGACTTGTCTGTGGCTCTCAACAGTTTCCCTTCTCCAGCCTCCATCATTTGTGGGCTATGTGCTTACAGTAATACCTCATTGCATCAATTGCATAGAAAAGCAATGTTATTTTACATATATTGCCTTAAATAAATCACAACCAATTTCATCTGTGACTTTCTCTCACTTTTTGAATCATCTTATTTTTTGCAGAGAATGGAACACAGAGAGTTGCATTTGCTACAAAAACACTCTACCACTGAGCTATGCCTGAGTTATTTTACCTGTTTCTTTAACGTTTTTGTGTGGCTTTGAGAAAATTTAAGAATACATGACACAAATTTCTTTTCAATTAAACAGGGCGTTGCTTTCCATAGCTCGGGCCATCTACTGAAAGGAACACAGGTGAGGAAGGTCATGCAATTTGAAACCTTAATAAAATTCTCAAGTTGCTCCCAATCGTGGACAGCACGGTTTCTAGATATCGCTGACCTTCCTAAGTCCTCCTCTTTAGATGTTGCCTTCTACACCAGGCTAAATACAAACGTTTCCCGCCAACCAAGGTCAGGTCCCAACACAGCAAGAAAGTCCAGCCTAAAAGCCTGGACCTGTCACGCTGGCCTGTTTTAGCCTTGATTGGCTAGGGTAGCTGTCACTCAACACTGGGTCGATGCCTGGAGGCGGAAATCAGGGACGCTGGGAGGAACTGTCCAATCAGATGCGCAGGCGGAGGGGAAGGGCGGGCTCTCACAATCTCGCATCTTTTCTTTCTCCCTTGTTGAGCTTGTCCTCCACTGCTCCGGAGTCTTCTTACAGGATCCCCAGGCGATCCTGCACAGCCGTAGTCCCCACCAGCTCTGGTACCGGGAGATCCTCCGGAGGTCGGCGAGTCACGCCGAGCGTGTGGCCAGGACTGGCGGGACCCGGTCACCACCTGCCTTGGGGACCTGAGTGCCTGTGAGCTGCGGAGCTTGGGGCGAGTCCCCACCGGCGGGTGGCCCTGGGTCCTGTCCCCTGGTTCCGCGGCGGGGGTGGTAGATGCCGGCTCTCCGAGGTCAGCTGCACAGTGTATTACCGAGTCCCCGATGGCGGGTGGCCCTTGACTTTGGCCCTTGGTTCCTCCCGCTAGGTGCGTTGGGAGGCAGGTTCCCCAGGTCAGCTGCAGAGCATGGCCGAGTCCTCTCTGGCGGGTCGCCCTGGGCCCTTGTCCCATGGGTGAGCTGGGCAGCAGGTCCCTGCCCTCTTTTCTCCTCCCTGTTGGCGACCTCCCTGGTACAGATCTGGGCAGCTTATGTGGCCTGATGCTCCCAGAGTGCGTGGTGAGCAGGGGAGGGTCAGGGTTCTGGACCCAGGTGTGTTCTGATTGTGACATTTGGCCTTAGGGGTCCTGTCTGTCCCTCTTTCTCCCCAGGATTAACCTGTGAGTCCTACAGACACATACTCCTAAATGTGCAGGAACCGGTATCAAATCCATTTTCCATTCTGGAACCTGGCTTCTCCTAAGGCTGGCAGCAGACACCTGAAATTCCAGTTCCCTCCCACATTCCCAAATGCACCCTCCAGTTCACACTTTGCCAACCATTTGTTCCACTCTACATTCAAATAGACAGTGTTTTAATTGTGGTAGTTTCACTTATTAATGAATGTCATTTAAAAAAATTATCTTATTTATTTTTTAACATGCACAAACATTTCCCAAGAGTGGAATGCAGAGAGGAATGACCCTGAAGTTGAGTTTCAAAAGTACTTATTCCTCTCTTCATCTTGCCCAGACACTGCACCTATGCAGTGCCTTTGGGCAGAGGAGTTCTTTGGACATTGAACAGGATCCTGTGTCCTCAGTCATTGCTCTGTCTTTTCCTGGGGCTGCTGCAAGTTGCCCTAAGCTTCCCTGTGCCCTGCAGGGCGCAGGCAATTTCAAGCTCCTCATCAGCTCCTCCTAGAGGACAGCCTGAGGTGTTTAGTGCAGCCTCCCAGAGGAGCAGCTGGAGACACCCAGGTGAGGCAGTGAGATGCTGGTGTTGAGGGAACATGACACTCCTGGTTCCTGCCCTCTGGATGCCCTCAGAGCTTTGAAGGAAGAACAGTTATCTTAAAGAGCAGGGGAAACTGACCCCAGCAAGGTGGAGCAAAGCCCTACAAAGCTCTTCAGCAGCAGGAGGGGGTGGGAGGTTGTGCCTGGTGACAGAAGCCTGACCTGAAGCTGGAGTCTGACAGGTCAGTGCCCAGTGGTGCTACAGTTCCCCAGGTTTGTTGCCTTGGAAAGACTGGCTCAGGTATTTTAGTGTCAGTTTTTCATGAACTGTAAAATGTAGTTTATTAGTAGAGCTGATTAGAAAATATCCCTAAAGGGTAAGATAGAGATACAATTCAGGGGGAAAAAAAGAAGGCTAGAAACAGAAAAGAAAGGAACACTTGGCCTTATATTCCCTTAGTTAAAAATACTTATGAATGTTTTTGTTCCCAAGAGTGAATTTACCGACTTTCTCAGATGCCTTCTTTTTTTGGGGGGAGCAGGTGTTGCTAATTTAAAATAGAATTCCAGGACTTTGCTTTGGGGATGCTACCTAGGAATAGAAAAAGGGAAAACCTATGTTTCAGTGTGGCTGCAGATATGAATGCCCCAGAAGAAAGTGTGGTAGAGATGTTGGTTTCTTTATTACAAAGATTCAACCTCACTAAGTTGAAGAGGGCCTTGTTAAGTTGCTGAGGATGGTTTTGAACTTATGTTCCTTCTGTATCATCCTCTGGAGTCACTGGGATTACAGGCCTGCACAGTACCCCTTTTCTCCTTTCAGATGTGTTCTTTATGGGAAAGTGGGGGTGGGAGAGTGGTTTGAAATAGAATTCCAGGGCTTGGCTTTGGGAATGCTACCTAGGAAAAGAAACAGGGAAAATTTCTTCCAATATGGTTGCAAAAAGTGAGTACATTAACCCAATTCATTGTGGTCGATGAATTGTTTCATTACAAAAATTCACCAAAACATCTGCTTCTGTAGTTTGCAGGGCTTTGGCAGTGGATGGGTCTGTTCTGTACCCTATGAACTGCAGGTGAATGTTTAACAGATTCTGTTGACAGAACTAGGCAATTCCTAATAGTAGTCACATATGACGAATGATTACCAAATATTATCTGGGATATAGCAATTAAATAACATGTTTATTGTCTGAAAAGGAGTACCTAGGTTTTCCTGTTGAAATATTAAATATAAATGTCTTAATTTTTTTTCTCCTATAAACACAAACATCTTGTTTGAGTGATTTACTGGGTTCTGTAAACACTGAGTCTCTTTAGATTGAAAACTTGGCTGAGGAACAGAGATCCATGATCCCAATGAGTGTAACCCAAGGCCAAGGTTGCATCTACTGTGAGAATGGTCTCCAAGCTTGGGGAAGAGTTTAGTCACCAAGTGGTGGTTCCTCCTGGTGTACTGTGGGTGACAGGGTGCTTCCCTGAGCTGGTTTGTGTTTGTAACCCAAGAGGAGGTCACTGAAGGTCCAGTCAGAGCTCTCTGGGCAGCCTCCCCTACAGAGGCCCAGGCTACTCAGACCAACCCTGGAAGGAGCCCTTTAGACTGAGAAGCTTCAGAGCTCTGGAAAGCTGGGGTCCTTAGGCAGATGTGGTGGGGGACTGGATGGGAAGGCTAAGGGGATTCCCTTTCTGAAGGTGCATATTGTCCAAGGCTGTTCCTGGAGTGTGCAATGAAACAAGTGCAGATTTGGGTGAGAAGTGACTTATTCTAACGAGCACTGCAGGAGGGGGGAGAACCACAGTGAGCTCTGCAAGCACCCACAGCTCCTGCAGAAAAGGGCTGCTTTCCTAGGGAGGGGCAAACAGGTTAGGAAGAAGCTGGAGGGGAGGGCTGCAAGGAGGGGGGCAGGTCAGATCCCAGGTCAGTGAGTGTTTCCCAGAAGTCAGCCTGTTCTCAGGAGGGGTCAGGAAGAAGGCTGTATGTTGTTTCCAGCTGCCAGTGGGTTAGAGTTCAGGGTCCTGGAGGAAGGAGGGAAACTCAAGTAAAGTTTGATTAACAAGTATTTGTTCTGATCACTGAAGAGAAAACTTCCTCTAATTGGTTATGAGGGAAGAAAGAGGGGAGGGATTTTCAGGATCAGTGTGTTTTTTCTGCCATGGGCTAAAAAGGGAGCATCTTCTGAGTTATAATGGGAAGGGGTGTCTGTGCAGGAACTGCTCTAGCAGAATGCAGAGGAGGGGGATTTCTTCAATCAAAGATCTTTTACAGGAGTCCCTTTGGTACTTTCTTTTTCTTACATATCTTTTCATTTTGGCCAATCCTGAGTTGAGTCTTTTAAACTGAACATAAGGGATGTGCTTTGTTAAAATCAAATAATTGAAGTTGAGTAGGGGGTGACGGGAGTCCCCATTTTGTAGTTCTTTGCTCTCAGCAGTGTGACTGGCCATCCTGCCCTGTAGCTGGCATCTACAGTGGGGCAGTGTTGTGGAACTGACCCTGAACTAGGGTTTGTGCTGACTGATGGTGTCAGAATTGAACTTTTGAGTGACCAGTGGTTTTGGAGAATGGATTGGTGTTCATCAGACTCACATTGTAGGTGTCAGAAGTGGTTTCAGGAAAAAGGCCTCATAGTCCAGGACCTTCATGTGCCTGCTGGTGGGTGCTTGGGTGACAGTGAGAACTGAAGTCCTGCAGGAGGGAACATTCCACTCTAGGGAAAGGAGAGCACAGTGACCTTCCAGGACCAAATGTCCCAGCTGCTCAGGTTTCCTTTATTCCCTAGAAGCCACCTGGGTTGCATCTACTGTCAGAATGGTCTCCAAGTTTGAGGAAGAGTTTAGTTACCAAGTGGTGGTTCCTGGTGTACTGTGGGTGACAGGGTGCTTCCCTGAGCTGGTTTGTGTTGTTTTCTTTATCAAGTCTTCGTGCCATAAAATTCCAGTTTGTCTCAAGAATGTTGGAAATTCTCCGCCCCCGCCCCCCTACTGCACCCAAAAGTCCTGGGGCACTCAACCTCTGAGCCACATCTGTGGCATTTTTTTGAATTTTTTTTTTTTTTAATTTATAGACATGGTCTCACTGAGTTGCTTATGAATCCCTGTTTCTGAGCCTAGCTTTGAACTCATGATCCTTCAGCCTCAGCATCAGGAGCCTGTGGGAAAACAGGCATGTACCGTGTCTCCCCGCCAAGAATTTAATTTCTTCATTAGTGGAAGATTTTTATATTATCCATTAACATTTATTTGGATGCAGTAATTGGATGTAACAATCACAGAGAGTTCTTGAAATAATTTTTCAATGCTCAGTCTAGTAAGAATTTATACACCCATATATTCCTGTCCAAATAGGGATGGGTTGGCCCTGGGAAGGCTGCCCTCTCTCCCTGCTCTCTCCAACCTCTGCCTGGAGGTGAGTGCAGTGCCAATTCTGTCATTCCTTATAGTTTAACCAGCTGTGAGGTAGCAGAATTTTTCTTAGTTCTGTCTTATTGAGTTCTCAGTATCTTAATGTTACCATTAGTGCTCTATCACTGGAGTTCTATAATGTGCAATGTGTGGTTTCTCTGCCTCAGTTGGTTAGACTCCTGTGCTGTCTGAGTCTTTGGGTCTCCCAGTTTCCTTCCCTGTTCCTGCTTCAGGAACCTCACTAGTTTCCAGTTTCATTTTTACGTTTTTGACAATTTCATTCTATTTTTAAATTTGGTCCCCATGTGTGCACCCTTTTGTACACATAGGGAAATTCTCAGGTTATTGATTATGGGTAATCTGCACTGCAGTGTGGTGGAGCAGCTCTCTCACTGTTCATCCTTGTGTGTTTACCCTCTTACCTGTCTATCCTTTTTTACTTCCATGTGGCTGTATATTGCTTTTCACTGAATATCATTAGCATGAACATTTTTCTGTGTATTTCCATGTTCTTTGAAATGGTTTTCAGTCATTTTCTCATGGAATTTATTTTTAGATTATAATTTTTTATCTTTTAATTTTCCCTTCAAATGAATTCATGTCTCTTTGTAAAGACTGCAGACATCTGCCCTGAAGTAGGGTAGACTTCTTGCCCCCTGTTGCAGTTTGGTGGAAGAGCCCCCTTTTTATAGATGTATCATTCTTTTTTTTCCTTTGAATTTATCTTATTAAGTATATCTATAGAACAAGAAGCATGGTGGATTTTGAGAGATAAATTCTTAGGTTTCCCCTCCTGGACACAGGGAATGAGCCTTTCTGGGGCCGCATTTCAGCACTCAGAGTCTGGCCCCCAATATGGGAATGTGATTACCCCTTTGCAAGTGGGTATTTATTGTGAACTCTGAGTGAGGCAGGCTCTAACCTGAGCTGGTTCAAATGTTTGCTTGTTCTTTCACTGAGTTCTTTTTATTATTGTCATGTAATTCGTTTTTTATGCACTTAATACTTGTACTTCCTGATTGTATTATTATTATTATTGTCTGAAAATGAGTTGACAGAGGAAAAGTGTGAGGAGGCCTTTCCCATGAAGTCCCGGCCTTTTCCCAAGTGATTTATGCCCACTCCCTCTGGCATTTTGCCTGGCTCCATCCAGACTTGTTTACAGACTCTAACATTTCTCTGGCAAAATGCCAGGCGCCATCCTGACTTGTTTACAGACTCTAACAGCACACACCTTCTGTGAGGTCATGGTAGGCTGCCTTGGAACCAAGGCTGTAATTCCTTACATATGCATGGGACTCTGTGCCCAGAAGAGCTTCCTAGCCAACAGGACCTGCTGTGGAAAGCCAGGCTCAGCTCTGCATAAGTGGAAATGTCCCCCTGGTGGGGCAGGTCCCCTTGCAGGGAGGAAGTCCTGCCTGAAAAAGGCTTTTGCCAATACCTTGTCTTCCTGGCCTGTGTATCCAGGAGCGTGATACATCTCTTGTCAGTCAGGGCCCCAGAGTGTGCATCTTTGGGTTGGGGTGAGAGAGGGGTCTTGTGGAGCCTTGGCTAGTTAGCAGACAGCTGGTGGGAGGGGGTGGCCTTCCATAGTCTCAGAGGCCTGTATCTTTCACCCTGTGGAGCTCAGAATCCATCTCCAGGACTGTGTCTTCTCTGCTGTGTGAGGCCCAAGTGGCTCTGGCTCACATTTGTCTCCCTGTGACCTGCAGGTGCTATGAGGTCCATAAGAAGGATGTCAGGTCTCCCCAGAAGGCAGAAAATGGTGAGTGTGTGGGGCAGGTCTGGTCAGGTGGGAGGTAGGCTTGTTACAAGTGGTGAACCAGCTGTGGCTGGCCTCTGGCCTCCCACTGTCAGCTCTATAGTCAGCCAAGAGTACCTGAGTCAGATGCTGCTTTAGCTCAGCCCTTGATGGCCATGGTGTGGGCTGGTGCAGGTGGGTTCCCAGTGTACTGCCTGGTCTGTAGCCACTTTGGCAGAACCTCTCTGCCCAGCTGGACCCCAGCCCTAGGTTCTCAGTGTGAAGTGAAGGCAGCGGGTCTCAGGGGATCCTGCCTTAGGTGTGGGGCTCCTGGGTAGAAGATGCTGGTCTGAGGGATCTGTTTCTTCTTCTCAAGGAGTCACCCTCCTTTCCCCCTCCTATGCCCTACCAGGGCTTTTGGTACATTCTTAATATTCCTGTCCTTTTCTCATATTTACAGATCTGACTCTCCCTCCAAGTTCATAGCATTTTCATCTCTTTTTGTGAATTTCCCATATGATGAAAGGAGAGAACAGTCACCTGGAACTTCACTGTTAAGAGAACTTGTGCCTCTCTCTCTCTCTCTTTTTTTTCCTTCCCTAGGAATTGATACCTTATTAAATTGTGGAGAGGTTTCCTTTGGACCCCTCACAGCGTCCCATGTTTTCAACCACTGTATTGTCCCGCCTGGGGCTGCCTCAAGTCCTGTAGGCGCCCTGTGTCCTACAGGAAGCAGGCAATTTTAGGCCCTGGGTCAGCTCCTTCTAGAGGACATTGTGAGGTGTGTCATTCAGCTTGTGAGGGGAGCAGCTGGAGGCCCTAGGGCTGAGGAATTTCTTGGAATAGGCCTCATCTAGACAGCTGCCTCCTAGGGACACTGTCTCCCCCAAGCCCTGTTCCTATTCCTTGGAGACAGTGAGCCTGTGGATGCTGGTGCTGAGGGGCCAGGTCAGCAGTGATTCCTGCCCTTGCATTCTCTCACAGTTGTGAAGGAGGAAAACTCTCCCAGAGCATAAGGACCACCCACCCCGGTGCAGTGCTGTGCAAACCTGAAAGCCTCATAGACTGGAGTCATGGTCCAGGTCTCCTGGGAGGGTGATCATGGAGTGTTTCAGTGAGAAGGACCAGGTGGAAGGATGTCCAGCTGGCAGGGACCTTACCAGTCCCTTGAGCCTGACACATCTGTGCTCCCTCAGCACCAGCCCTTTCTGTGTTTATCACTTCAAATTGGTCTGCTTACTTATCAGAGACCTAGGTATTCCTTAAATGTCAAATGTATTTATTCAGGGGTGAGGTAAAAAATAAAAAGAAAAAAGAAAGAGAAAAAAATTTCTATTTGATCATTGTTTTCATTGGACTTGTTTTAGGACTTTAAGAAAAAAAGCTCCTAATAGGTTATGTTGTTATTCTCATTTCCTTTGTTGTGCTGAGTGTCTAACCCAGGGCAGTAGTTCTCATGTATTCTCAAATTGTACCTTTTTCCCCCCCTCCATTTGTATTAGTATATTAGTTATACATAATATTAGGGTTTGTTTTATTTATTTATCTTTTTGCTGTCAGGGATTGTACTCAGAGGAACTTTACCACTTAGCCACATCCCGGGCCCTTTTTATATTTTATTTTTAGACTATCTCCCTAACTTGTTTAGGGCCTCACTACATTGCTGAGGATGGCCTCAAACTTGCATCCTCTGCCTCAGGCTCCTGGGTTGCTACTATTACAGGTTTGTACCTCCTTGCCTGGTTAATGTTGGGTTTTATTTTTTACATAATGTGCAAGCATTAGGTTGGTGTAAGTTACTCCACTTCAGTCCCCAGTAATTTTCCTTTCTCTCCTACTTTCTTTCTGTTTCCTTACCTCTTCGCATAGGATGATCTGTTCAACTCCACTCTGGTATTCTCTCATTTCCTGTTTCTTCCCTTATCTCAGTCTCTGTCCTCTTCTTCACCTCCCTCTCTTCTATTTTCACGGGATCCTGCCTGCCCCACTTTTTGTCCTGATTTTGTTCTAGCTTCCACATATATGAAAGAAAACATTCAGCATCTGAGTTTCTGGCTCTCACTTATTTCACTTAGTATGTTGTCTTCCAGTTCTACCCATTTTCATGCTAATGACATACTTTCATGCTTTATGACTGAGCAAAATCCCATTGTGTATGTGTACCTCATTTTCTTTATTCTTTTTTCTCTTGATGGCGTCCTGGGCTGCCCTTGGATATGGTGAACTGTGGTGTGACTTTATCACCGTAACATGTTGGTGTTACACAGGGAGCTCAGGCTGCTCCCTGCAGGATGGTGCTGAGTCCCAGGGTTTACAGTAAGAACTGAGGTGCATCATGAAGTTATGTGAAATTTGAGGCTGTTCCAGGGTCACATTTGTCCTGCTTCATTTTCCCTGTTTCCGTGTGGAGCAGCTCCACTACTATTTGGCTGACCTTCTGCTCCCTGAGGCTGCTGTCATTTCTCTTCTACATGGTGTTCCAGGTACCATTACTGCACCCTTGATTACACCCGACTTGAAGTGAGCTTTGTACTCATGAAGTGCTAGTCAGACTGCTGTTCTTGTTTTCAAAGTCCTGTGGTATTCTGGGTCCCTCATAATGTTGAATGACCTTTTCAATTTCTAAAAAGGAATCATCACCCGGGATTCTGATGGGTTTAAATATAATTGGTAGATTCTTTGGGAGTATCACCACCTTAATAACATTAAACCTTTAGTCCATGAGCATAGAATGGTATTTATTTGGATGTTGAGCTACTTCCACCAAGCATTACATTTTAGAAAATAAGTTTTATAATTTTCTATTTGCTATTTATTATGTATGTATTGTATATTATTATTATATTGTTTATTTTTCTATATTTATTTTTTAAGTGTCATTGTAAATGAACTTTTTAAATTGCATTTCAGAATTTTATGAGAAAAAAGTTGATTTTTTGATTATTAAAGTTAAGAGTTTTGTTTATTAATTTTTTCACTCCTGACCTTGGGAACACGTCTTCCTCTTGGGTGCTTCCAGGTTTTGAAAATCATGAGTGCTGGTGCGTTGAACTTTGTAGGGCAGGATGTCATGTGGACCTATATTGTGAACTCATTTGGGTTTCCCCAACTTTGCGAAATGGCTTGGGGTCCAGGAACCACCTCTCTGACACATGAGATAGGGTTGATCACTTCAGCCTGTGACAGTTGAGTGGCTGTGGGCCTGTGAGGAGGTTTGTGTGAGGTCTCTGTGTATTAGAGCCCTGGGACTTCTCAGGTATCGATCTCCCCCATGTCGAAGGCTTTCTGGTAGGTTCAGCAGTCAAGAAACCCTGTCAGATGTCCTTATCCACTTGTAGTAGAGACTGTAGGGAGCAGGAAGCCATAAATACAAGGCAAATGGGCACTGTGTCAGGTGGTCACTGTTGACAGGGTGAGAGGTGGTGAAGGGTGCAGAGGTGTCCCTCTCTCCTCCTGTCTTGGTGCCTGTGGCAGCTGTCTCAGCCCATGTGTGGGTCTGAGTCTGTTACCTTTCCCACCTTTATATGGGTGGTGGAGTCCTTGGTTTTGCCTCAGTATCTGGTGCTGTGTGAGTCGGCCCTGAGGTCTGGAATGCTGTGATTTTGTTCCTGGCTTCCCTGGGAGCCCCCCTCTTGCTGTGTTGTCTAGAAGTAGTGAGAGCAGGAATCCTTGACTTGTTTTTCTGTCACAGAGACAGGATTTTGTTCTTCAGTGTAGCCTCAGGTTTTGTAGATCCCTGTGACTTTTTAGGGTTTTTCATTCTTTTCCTGGTATGTGCATGTTGATGTCTGTGGCTTTTTAGGGTTTTTCATTCTTTTCCTGGTATGTGTGTGTTGATGTCATGAAGGTGGGTTTGATTTTTGTCAGCTGCTTTTTCTAGGTATCAGCCCTCTCCAGATGCATGATGTGCTGGTGTTTTCCACATTTCTTCGGGGTGCCATTTCACTCTCTTGGTGGTATCCAATGAAAGATAAAATTTTCACTGTTTAGTGTTGATTTGCTTTTAAATTGCACATGTGAATGAGGTGCAGTGAGCTAGTTGCACGCCTGTTCCAGTGTGTCATGATAAGATCAGGGCTTTAGCCCTTCTGACCCTTACAGTTATCATTTCTGGGTCTGTGGACTACTCCCCCTGCTTTATTATGAAATGCACAGTGACATGTTGTGAACTACATGCTCTGGTCACTCTACTGTGCTAGAGAGCAGTCCTGCTGGCCCCGCCTGAGTGTATTTTAGTACCTGATACACAGTCTGCTCTTCCAGTCCTGCCCTGTCCCTTCTCCTCTCTCTTCCATGCTTCTGGTGACTACTCTTGTACTTTCTGTGAACTCAACTTGCAGCTTCTCTGAGTGAGTTTGTACGCACAGATGTCTCTCTCGGTGCCTGGCTTGTTCCACTCAGTGTGGTGTCCATAGTTTCACTCCCATTGCTGCAAACCATAGGACTGAAAGCCATTTGGTGAAATCAAGTTCATCTATTCTTTCATGAATCACATGGATGGAACAATATCCCAGAAACCATTCCCAAATCCACTGTTGTGAGATTGTGCTCTGCATTGTCTTCTAAGAATGGGTGAGGTTCACCTCTTCAGGGCTTTGGTCCATGTGGATTTCATGTAGGTACGTGCCGAGAGGGGAGGGTCTGACTTCACCTGTCGACATGAACACACAGTTTCCCGGCCATTCATTTTCCTGAAGGTCCTGTTTACTGGAATGACCCTGGTCCCTTGTGCAACATTTTTTTCTTCTTTTTCTGCATGGGTCAGCAGTGTCCTGGTCCCCCATTTTCCCCTATTGTTGTATATGTCTGCCTTTAAACCAGAGCTACACTGTCTTTGTTAGTATAGTTGGAGGAGGTTTTGAAAGCTGGAAATGTGGTGCTCTGCAGTTTATTTTTTTTCTTCTGTTGTTGATTTTCTTGTATTTCCATGTGAACATTAGAATGATACTTCTTACTTTTATGTAAAAAATGTCATTGGTATTTAGAAAGTGATTGAACTGACTTCATGGTTAATTTTTGTGTAGATTTACAATTCCTTTTGCTTGCAAATACCAGATATCTTTACATGTATCATTTCCCTGAAGTAGTTTGTAGTTTTAGTTGTGTCAGATTTTGTTGATAATTTCTAAACCTTTTTTTTTTTTTTTTTTGGTTAACGTGGTTTCCTGCTCCTGCTGCATGTCCTGGCTCTTTTCCATTTCAGTTGTGCATTTATTCATATCACTATGCACCCACACCCTCTAATGTCCCATCTATTTCAGGCTACTTTTTAATTCATTTTCATCTTTTAAATGCATTTGAATTTCTCATTCTTTGTTCTTGCTTACTCTTCTTATATAAAAATCTTTTTTTTTCTATTTCTCTAGAAAAAAACATTTTGAAACCGTTTTAGTTTTGTATTTCACACCAGAATGTGTAATGAATTAACATGTGTGCAAGGAATGAGGAAAATAATGCATTTTTTCAGTTTAATACCATTTTGTGTTGACTCATCTTTAAAATTGCGTGTGAATGTTTCCACTTCTCAACAATGCATTCTGTTATTAGTCAATTTTTTATATGAATTTAAAACCACTGAAAGCTTTCTTTTCTCTTGGTCCATCTCATGGTTCATCTCTCTGCTAACTGTAAAGAAGGGAACAAAGAAGGCTTGTGGGGAGCCACTCCAAACACACACACACACATACACACACACACCTTTAAATCCTGATGCACCTTGAGGATCCGAAAGATCATTGTAGTCTGGTGCAATAGTGGCATGACTGGTGACTCGGTCTTTTCCCTCATTCAGATAATAACGTGTGGCACTGGGAGTGGCTCTAGGAATAGGGTGCACCCAGAGGGGTTGAGCTACACTCACCTGTTCCCTTGTAATCCTACTTCTTGCCTCATTTGAATGGCTTCTTCCCATTAAAAGGGTTTAGCACCTGCTCCTCTCTCTTTCCATGGACCTCTAAGGTCAGAGGAGCCATGACAGGACCCAAAGAAAAAGGTATTTCTGTCTCTGATTATTTTTGTGCAGCTCAGTTCACTGGACTGGGTGTTTTAGTCATGGAATACAACAGAGACTTACCCATACAATGCAGAGGCAAGAAACAAGTGGCTGCCCCTCCTAGCACCATGTTTATTTATCTCCCAAGTTACATAGCTTGTTGTTACCATGACTACATTATGATTTAGTCTTCCTTTAATCCCAAGTGCTAACTAACTGACATAAGGTCCAGGTTCATATAAACACAGAACCCCTTTTCTCTAAGGACATCACCATAGAAATTAGATAGTGAGCCTGTATAGTTATCTTAATAGCTTCAAAGAGAAATTGCTGGACATTCCAAGCACAGGAAACAGAGCGCCTGTAACCGCTGCCCCCCCAGCCCCCAGGAGTTTGTTCACCAGAAGAACGCTTCCCTGTACATTTCCATGGTCAGAATACCTACAGGTAACTCTATACTAGCTGTGTCTAATAGTATTATTTAAAGTTCTTTATTTATACTCAGGTGTCACTTAAACATTCTGGTAGTTTATATTTAGGCTGCCTCACCATTGCACATACACCACAGTGTATCCACACAGTCCTAGAACGAATAGCTATTACATACCTAAGCTGTATCATGTCAGTGCTTCCTAGGGTCCAGCCCCACACAGCATTTCACTTAACAAGCTACCAAAGTTGATCATGCATTACATTTTTTTGCACCACCATCACTACAAACACCACAATAATCCCTTTTCTACTGATAACCATTTTTATGTAGCCCATTATTATCCAAAAATGTCTTTGACCAAAATATTGTTATGTGGCACATGACTATATATTATATAAGCCAAACAGTCTGCTATCTAGAACATATTGACAGGTGTTACATATTTCTTATTCTTATTGGGCTAGGACAAGTACCTTCTATTGATGACTAGAAATTTGATTTGTGAAATGTCAGAAAAGGGTTTTAACACTTTTTCCATTGTATTTGATATTTAATTGGAGGATATTATAAATTCTTTATTCATGATTATTCTTTTAATTAGTAGGTTACATTTCATCTGCAGTAAAGCACCAATAAATTCCAATTGGTTTTCTTGGTGAGCTCAATCCCCAGTTACCATGTTATGACCACCTCAATGAAATGTTGTCTACTAAGGAAGTTCTTAGACTCTGTTTTCAGAGGGTTCTTTTTCTTTTTTTAATGGGTTGGCGATCATTGATCCTGGAGGTTCTACATTGTATGAGTGGGACAAAATAAAACAATTTCCAGAGTAAAGCAATCGTTCAGCACATACTGTGTTGCTAACTTACACTGTCAAGCACTGTGACTCAGTGTAAATGCTTAGTTTGGTGAGATCCCATCCAAATCTTTACCTCTGTCTACCAGCTAAAGTACAACATAGCCAGTAGGCATTTCTCAGGATAGGTACTGACAGGTAACTAATATTAACTCTCTGTGCACATGATGTCGTAGGGTTTCATTATTCCATGTATTAGACATTCACCCTACAAAGATCTTAGGGGTGACCCAGGAGCATGCCTTACTCCCTGGACTAAAACTGTTTATGCTTTCATGGATAGTTCAGTTCTTATATTGAAATGTGCATTTGGGGAAGTAAGTGCAAACAGAGTACATGTTTAACAACCAAATCATAGACTAAATATTTAGAGATCACAATTGTGAGAACATCTTACATATTAAGAGTAGAGCCCTCATGCTGACCATCTGTCCTCGCCTGCACTACATTTCTGTGGGGTATTTTAGAATTCAGTGGTCTTCGAGGATGTGGCTGTGAACTTCACCCAGGAGGAGTGGGCTTTGCTGGAACCTTCCCAGAAGAGTCTCTACAGAGATGTGATGCTGGAAGTCCTTAGAAACCTGGCTTCTGTAGGTAAGGATGAAATTTCATTGCATAATCATAATCAAAGACAGAGCACCTGAGAGTTTTTTTTTTTCTTTCTTTTTTTTTTTTAACTCATGAATTGGAATGTGGGAAAGGGAATACTTTGGAAAATAAATTGGACCTAATGTCATTGCACTCTGCAGCATAAATACCATACTCCGGTTTTTTTTTTTTTTTTCTTTTTTCTTTTTTTTTTTTTTAATGGATGCATTATAGTTGTTTAAATTGTAAATCCCATAATGCATTTTGAAATGGTGATTCATAATGACTTTTCATGAACTACATTTCAGGAGATGGATGGGAGGACCAGAACATGGAATATCAGAACACAAATACTGAGAGAGACTTAAGGTAATTTGTACTCATATGAGGAAACAGCACCATGAGGGAATTCTAGCACATCATATAGTTTCACAAATAAGCAACAAAAACAATCATGAGATAAATTATATTCATTCTTATTTCACCAAATATAAAATTTAATGAAAGATAGATGTTAACTATTTTCAAAAAAAATATTGACTTGTTGACAGTGTCAACAAACTTCATTTATGATAGCACTGCTTTAGTAGCAGCTGTGGAAAAGCAGTTTTACAAAATAATTGTTACATTGACTTTCAAAGAGCATACAATATAGACATGACAGAAAACCCATACTTTACCTGATATTGGTAATAGTGTAAGTGCAATGCTTATTAATAAATATAAAGTATTAATGATCCAACCATAAATTGTACTTTTAATTTTTTTACAGAAGTCATATGGTAGGCTCTGGAAAAATTTGAAAAAGTATTCAGTGAAGAAAAACCTTTATTGAGATTCCAAATCTTAGTCTTAAAAGACCATTCCTGCTAGTCAGTTCATGTGAAAGCAATATGTGTGGACAGGTCTTCACATGTCACGTTTCCTTAATAGGTCCATCATATCTCACTCTGCAAACAAACTATATGAGAATGAGGAGTGTGGCGGAAAGCTATATGAATGTAAAGAGAAGAGAAAATCCTCCATTTCTCTCACAAGTGTTCAATGCCACAAGTCAGAGCACACTGTAAATGGTCCTAATGGAGGTCTGACATATGGAAGAGAGTTCAGTTGTTCCAGGTGTTTTCAAAAATATCAACCATCTCATATTGGAGAGCAGCCACCTGGATGTAAGCAATGTGGAGGTGCCATTACTATTTCAAATAACCTTCAAATGCATGATCAAACTCCTACTGGAGAGACAACTTACAGATGTAAACAGTGTGGGAAAGCCTTCACTTATTCATATTCCCTTCAGATACATAAATGAATTCATTCAAGAGAGAAGCGCTATGAATGTAAAGAATGTGGTAACGCTTTCACTACATTTTTTTACCTTCAAATACATAAACGAACTCATACTGGAGAGAAGCCCTATGAATGTAAACAGTGTGGTAAAGCCTTTGTTTCATCCACTAAACTTCATAAGCATGAACAAATGCAACTGGGGAGAAGCGCTATGAATGTAAAGAATGTGGTAAAGCCTTTGCTACTTTCTCTTACCTTCGAATACATAAAAAAATTCATACAGGAGAGAAGCCATATGAATGTAAGCAGTGTGGCAAAGCCTTCACTCGGTCTTTTTACCTTCACTCACATGAAAGAACTCATACAGGAGAGAAGCCCCATGAATGTGAACAATGTGCAAAAGCCTTCATTTCTTCCTCTTCCCTTCAAATACATAAGCTAATCCATACTGGAGAGAAGCCCTATGAATGTAAGCAGTGTGGCAAAGCCTTCACTCGGTCATCTTACCTTCACTTACATGAAAGAACTCATACTGGAGAGAAACCCCATGAATGTAAACAATGTGGTAAAACCTTCACTCCTTTATCTTACCTTCGTCCACATGAAAGAATTCATACTGGAGAGAAACCCTATCACTGTAAACAGTGTGGTAAAGCCTTTTCTTCATCCAGCAAACTTCATAGGCATGAACAAATTCACACTGAGAAGAAGCCCAATGAATGTAAACAATGTGCAAAAGTCTTCACTTGTTCTTCTGAATTTCAGGTACATAAACAAACTCATATTGCACAGAAGCCATATGAATGTAAGCAGTGTGGCAAAGCCTTTACTCAGTCCTATAACCTTCAGTTACATGAAAGAACTCATACTGGAGACAAGCCCTATAAATGTAAACAATGTGCAAAAGCCTTCACTAGGTTCTCTAAACTTAAAATGCATGAAAGAACTCACACTGGAGAGAGGCCCTATGAATGTAAACAATGTACAAAAGCCTTCACTTCTAACTTTTCCCTTCAAATGCATAAACGAACTCATACAGGTGAAAAGCCCTATGAATGTAAGCAGTGTGGCAAAGCCTTCTCTTGGTCATCTACCCTTCGCATACATGAAATAAGTCATACTGGAGAGAAGCCCTATGGATGTAAACAATGTGATAAATTCTTCACTACCTTCTCTTACCTTCAAAAACATAAACAAATTCATACTGGAGAGAGGCTGTATAAATGTAAGCAATGTGGCAAAGTGTTTAGTTCCTATGGTACCCTTCACTCACATGAAAGAGCTCATACTGGGGAGAAACCCTATGAATGCAAAGAATGTGGAAAAGCCTTCACTGCTTTGTCTTGCATTTGAAAACATAAACGAATTCATACTGGAGAGAAGCCCTATAAATGTAAGCAATGTGGCAAAGCCTTTACTTCCTCTGGTACCCTTCACGTACATGAAAGAGCTCATACTGGGGAGAAGCCCTATGAATGCAAAGAATGTGGAAAAGCTTTCACTGCCTTCTCTTACCTTCGAAGACATAGACAAATTCATACTGGAGAGAAGCCCTATGAATGTAAGCAATGTGGCAAAGTCTTTAATTCATCTGATAACTTTCGCAGACATCAAAAAACTCATACTGGGGAGAAGCCCTATAAATGCAAAGAATGTGAAAAAGCCTTCATTTTCTTCTCTTACCTTCAGCAACATAAACAAGTTCATACTGGAGAGAAACCCCATGAATGTAAACAATGTGGTAAAGCCTATAGTTCATCTGGTACCCTTCGCAGACATGAAAGAACTCATACTGGAGAGAAACCCTATGGATGTACAGAATGTGGTAAAACCTTCACTCAGTCATCCTCCCTTCACTCACATGAAAGAACTAATACTGGAGAGAAGCCCTATGAATGTAAGCATTGTGGCAAAGACTTCACTCAGTCCTTTAACCTTCATGCACATGAAGGAATTCACAGTAGAGAGAAGCTCTAGGAATGTAAACAACATTGAAAAGCCTTCACTACTTCGTCTAGCCTTCAAATACTTAATCCAAATAATACTGGAGAGAATCATTATCAGTGTGAACATTGTGGGAAAGCCTTTTTCTTCATTTAGTTACCTTTGCTCACATGAACCAACTCATATAGGAAAGAAGCCTTATGAATGAAAAAAACAATGTGGGAAAGCCTTTGCTTCAACCTGTGAACTTCCCTCCCATGAAAATCTCATCCTGGAAAGAATATTTACATGACTATGTAAACATCATGATAAAACTTTTAATCATTCCACTTATCTTCATGTGCCTGAACAGACTCCTACTGGAGCAAAGCTTTATGTAAACTATGTATTAAAACCTTCATGGTGGGGTTGTGGCTCAGTGGTAGAGCATTTGCCTAGCATGTGTAAGGCACTGGGTTTGATTCTCAACAACATGTATAAATAAATGAATAAAATAAAGGTTCATCAACATCTAAAATGTTTTTTAAAAGAAAAGAAAAATCTTCATTTTTTTTCCTCTCTCTTTTTCTTCAAATGTGCGAATAATCTCCTTGGAGAAAGGCCCTCTGAGAGTAAATGGTGTTGTAAAGCCTTTAGGAGTTTGGCTTATCTTCAAATACATGAAAAAACTCATACTGGAGAAAACCTTGTGAATATAAACAACGTGGGAAAGCCTTTACTTATTTCTGTGGACTTTATGTACATAAAAACATTTATACTGGAGTAGAGCTCTGTGAATGCAAACAGTGTGGCAAAACATTCACAAGTTGTATTTATCTTCATGTACATGAACAAACTTACACTGGCGAGAGTATAAGTTTTGGTGAGAGGCCTCCTGAATATAAACAATGTGGTACAACCTTTGCTTATTCCAATTCAATTTGAAAACACTAACTGGGGAGAGGCTGTAAGAAAACAACCTGGAAAGGCTTTCAGGACTTTCACTCACCTTCGGTTGCATAATGCACTCATACTGCATTGAAAATCTGTAAATGGAAGCAATGTAAAAAATGTTTCTCTTATTCTTTTTTTTCATATATTTATTTTTTAGTTGTAGTTGGACACAATACCTTTATTTAATTTATTTATGTCTATGTGGTGCTGAGGATCGAACTCAGGGCCTCACACATGCTAAGCAAGTACTCTACTGCTGAGCCACAACTCCTGACCTCTCTGATTATTAGCTTCAAATCATAAACAAATTCATACTGGATAGAAGACTTGTGAATGTCAACAATGTGAAAAAGGCTTCAATTGATCTTCTACCTTCAAATACAAGAACAAACATACTGGTGACAAGTTTGTTGTGTATAAACAATGTATTAAATCCTTCATTTGTTGCAGTGATATCCAAAAACATGAAATAACTTGTATTAGAATGAAGTTATTTTAATTAAACAATCAGAAACACCTTCTTTTGGTGCAGTTCCCCTAATAAATATTAAAAAATTGGTAATGTAGAAATCCTATTTGAATGCAAAAATTCTGGCTAATGATTCAGTTTTCCTGGTCATCCTTAAATATATGACAGGATCCACACTGAGAAAACCTTGAATGTTAACGAAGTGGTAAATCATTTTTTCCCTATTGCTTTCAAAGCCATTTCACTCATGGTGGAAGAGAAACTGTCTAAATATGTGATATTTACTTCTGTTACAGGAAAGGTAGTGGAGCAAAGGAATGTGTGGAAATGTCCGATTTTTACAGTTTCTTTGAAGAACATAAAACAGTTGCACAGGTTGAGAAACTAAACCAGAAATCTGATAGAGCCTTCACACATTCCAGTTTGATTTATGTGTCAGATTTCCATTGCACTGACAAAAATACCAAAGAAAATTCAACCTAAAGGAGGGAAGATTTATTTTGGTTCAAGATCATATAACATTCAGTCTATCATTAACTGACCACCTTGCTTTAGGCCTGAGGTGAAACAGAACATAATATGCGATGGTGTAGGAGAGAAGGACTTCTTACCTCATGGCAGCTGGGAAGGAGAGTGATGGAAAGTAAATTAAGTACATCACTAATTGCTAACGAGTTTTTATTGTACAGACTGTAGTTGTGGCCTTTCTATTTTCAGTGCTTCTACTTCCCTTGATAGTGTAGTGTGCACTTGTGATGGAGTTCACATCATTTGTGCATAATGTTCCAGGTTCTGATTTGGAAAATAAGAAAAAACAATGTTGCTAGTTTCTACTAAAGCATGGGAAAGGCTACCTCAAGTATTCTGAGGGGAAAATCCCTAGTCAGTCTGTGAGTTTTTCTTAGCAGACTGTTTAACAGCATTCCAAAGGTCTTATGAGAAGGTTTGATGGACTTAGACAAAATCACTCTGCATTTTGTACTAACCCTAACAAGAATGGATCACATTTCCTGAAGACTGAGGTATTGACTTCCATTGTAGGTTACTGGGCAGCTAAACTCTTTCACTGAACCACACAGAACATGAGGAAGAGGTTACCTGTGCAACCTGCAAGTTTGCAAGAGTACCCCCAAAATGTTCAGAAGAAATTTATGTAGAGAGAAGAGTAGTCATGTGTAGTGTGCAGTTCTAGAAACCTAGTAACAAATGACCTGGCTTACCAAGATTCTTGAATGCTACTTGCATTATGTCAAATATCTTGACTACTACTTGCATTATGCCAATATGACAACAATTATGCCGATTCCTTGGTATCAAGGTACAGGATGGTTCTTTAGTTGGTCTTGAACCAGCCCAGTTCTTCCCCACCCCTCTTTGTTGTTTGTAAGTGTCAAGAATAATTGTGAAGTGTGGACATAGAAGAATAAAGAGCAATCCAGTGCACCACTGGCCAAACTTTCTGTGTCATGGAGAAGGTGAAGTGGTGGAAGGCAAAAGGTAAGAGGCCATAGCCATGGAAAGTGGATGGGGAGAGAGCTCACAGACCATACCCTTCCCTGGCTCAGGGGTCAGAACAATGGACTGGAGTCTTTAAAGGTTTGGTCTTATGTGTTAGCATCAGAGTAAATGTCTCTGTTCTTATTTTCAATGAATCCAATTTCCTAGGGATAAGTGAGAACAATATTGGGACGGGTTTTGGAGGAAAATTATTGACATTTTCAAATCTGGAGGGTAGGTGGAAAGGAAGATATAAATATTTTTAGTATATTTGACCTGGTGTTTCAGTTTCCTGGTGTGGTCACTGAGCTCATGGCAATGGGGAACAATGTCCCAGAAGAAAAGACCCATGTCCAAATCCTGAATGCCACTTCCTTGTATCATGGAATCTGCTTTATATACCAATTTATTTCCAGTATATTCAGATGCAGATTATTGCAACAGAAATTGTGTTAGTGGATGAACTATTGCAAATTTATTTTTACTAAATATGCTATATCATCCAGTGATTCATTGAATTCACATTTCAGTAATTTATTAATATGAAAAAATGAATCATTAAGTTCGAAAGCGCTAATTATGTAAGGAAAATAATAAAGGAGATGCAGAGGCAGGAAAGTGACTGCTTGTCCAAGTGGCCACATTTATTTATACCAATAGGTACATTAGATCATTAGTACCATAACCAACTTGTTGTTTCAGTAAAATTGCTTATTCTACAGTTACATTCACAGTTACATATGCAATGTCAGGAGATTTGTATAGCTTTTAAGAAAATCCATTGTATGTAGTTACTGTTACATGGATAGATTTAGGTTCAGTGAAACATTGTGTTTTTCTAACAAGCGAGTCCCTGTATTACCAGGAGCTCTGTGCCTGAGATGAAGGTCGAAGCTGACAAGACTAACATAGAGCTTCCACATGAGGGTCAACACTACAGCAGCCAGGCATCCCATGTCTTTATACAGACGTTTCCTAGCAGCCAGGCATTCTGCTCTTTGCACAGAAACTTTCCAGCAGGTAGGCATTCAGTGCCTTTGCACAGAAACTTCCTAGCCACCAAGCATGCCACAATCACAAAGTTTATCAGAGACCTCAATCCCAAACACAGAACCCCTACATAAGTGCTTAAGAAATAATACTTAAATTTGTTTAACAAATTTGTAAAATAAGTTTGAGAAATTTCAGGATATGATGTTCTTAAAACATGAACATGTTCAACCAGAGAAATGAGACAAATCAATGGAGCAAACTAGAATTCAAAGAAACCCACATAGATTTAATTCTTGACAAGGGTGCCAAAAACATATTGGAGAAAGTTCAGCCTTTATGAAAACACTGCTGTTGGAGAATAGGTTATTTCTTTATAAAAGAACAAGACTGGATCCCAATCTCTCACTTTTCACAAAATCCAATTCAGTATGGATCAAAAGGCTATGAATTAGACAATAAACTTTGTTGAAACTCCAACATAGTTGCAAGCAACAATTTCCTCAGTAGAATCCCTGAAGGCCAAGAATAATTTGAAGAAATAATTTGAAGAGTTAATAAAAGGGATGATATCACATTCAGAATCTTCTGCAAGGCTAAGCAAACAAAATGTGGAGAATCCATAGAAGAGGAGAAAGTCTTAGTCCACACTTCTGAGAGGAGTAATATCCAGTAAGCATAAAGATCTCTCAAAATCTTATAATAAAAATAACCCAATTAATAAATGAGAAAATGAAGTAAACATTATTAAAAGAAGAAATACAATTGTATATTATATAAGGACCAGGCACATGGAGGAGGGAAGAATAAGGAGAAAGAATAAATGCTGATAAATGATCATGGCAGTTACATTGTTATATTTTGTGCATGTATGATTATATAAATATACCCTACTAGTATACATAAGTATGTTTCACTAATGAAAATACAGAAAAAAAGAAAAGGTCCATTCAATCTAATCTTCAGTCTCAGTATCTGAAGTTCTCTTCATCCTCATTGTTCTCTCCTGTTATAGACAACCATAAGGAGGAGTTTTCCTCTCATGACCAGTACTATTTAGGAATCAAGGAGTGTATGGGAAGGCAGGTAGAGAGTGAAGGTTGCACATTCCCTCTGGGGTAATTTCAATCCCATATTGCAAACACTAGGCAGTTCCAGGAAAGTTATTCCCTATGGGCCTTTCCTGACCTATGCTGGGTTATATTGTCCATCTACTTCCTCTACTTAGCTCTGGAAACTCATGGATGTGCTATTAGCATCTAAGCAGGTGTTCTAAGCCAGTCCTCCATACATAGGGCACATGATTGTTTCACAAGAAAAATACTCAGGAAGTGGTGATGTAAAATGAGAACTTTGCTTTAAGGAAATAAGAAATTACTGTATTCTGAGGCATATGGGAATTACCATGGCCTTGGCACAGTTTCATATTAACCTTTGTGACTTTTTTTTTTAACCATGGAAGAGTTTTGGTGAGATTTTAATCCCATGGAATGAATTTTGTGCATCAGTAGGTTTACCAAATTCTTTCTTGGAGTCTTTATATAGGCAGGCAAGGAGATGTGCTTAATAGATTCAGATATTATCTTGTAGAATTTTTAAAGATTGATGTAGGGAAGAGGTTAGCTAAACTTAGTGATATGGTTTCATAATAACGGCGTGAGAATGTTAGATCAGATGTAATATGTGAAAATACACATTTTAAAGGCACTCATAGTCCAATATAATTATGTTCTTGACATGCAATATTCCTCCCTCCAGAGTCATGAAGGTCTGCTCAATCAAGGTCTTGCACTGTGCAGGATCTCCAATACTTATCCAGCTTCAGAGAAGTTCAGACCCTTTGGTCTAAGCATGACAATGTGCATGCAGACCTTGAAAGTCTTGATCATAGCATTTGATAAAAGAGTCTGAGAGAAAAGAATGTAGCCTTCAGGAAAGGGAAATAGTTCTAATGCCTTTAAGGAAGCAATCCCTGCATGATGTTAGTGATACTAGCCATTGTGAGCTTGTTCTCAGTTTAAGTGATTTCCAATGATGTTTGGAGTATTTAATATAACAATTAGAAAAAATTCTAATTTTTTTCTCCTGGCCAATTTGAGTCAATGGACATGGAGTCATGTTCAGTGGCTGGGTCTAAGAAAGGTTTATCTTTAATGTCCAAATTATTGTAACTCTCATTCCTTCTATTTGTATTATTTTGTGAGATTCAAAATCTTAGGGAATCCCATATACATAGTCAACAGAGTAGAAGTGATTGTGAGGTAGGTTAAGTCAATATGCCATCGTGCTCCCAAGCATTTTCTGCATCTGATGATAGCATTTACATCATCTGAGATTTTGAGACCATCAAATTGTTTCTATAAATAGTAGTTCACTTGTGTGATCAATATGGTTAGGTCCAGATTTTGGGATGTTTACCACAATGCAAGGAGTGGATGTCCACACAGATTTGTTGCACTGGGAAACAGGTTCAGCTGCAATAAGTTGACCATTATATTTGTCATAACTTATTGTCTTCAGGAATAATGATAAAACTGTTATGCAGTTGACTAGACCCATGTTAACATGTTTTATTTATTTATTTTTTCATAGGAAGAAAGTTTGTT